AAGTAAAACTCTCCACTTGCGTGACTATTATATATGCGCACAGTTTTGTTTACAATAGTAAATATGGCCACTAGGCTGGCTCATTATGCATCAAAATGTAAATGCGCACATCACACACGCTTGGATATTGATGAGCTACATAAATTGTTTAAAACCTTTACTCAGTATCATGAGATTTTTTTTTCTGAATCCTCTTTTTTTTCAGTTTTTCCTTCAGGCAACTGACACATCAGAGGAGGCCCTTCTTTTACTAATTAAACTCGTGCCTAATTTCTTCAGATTTGCATGCATTTAAATTACAGTTGAGGCGATAAATGTTTGTTGATACAGTATGTGTTGTGTTTTTTTAGGAATATGCTTCCTAGATGTAATGTGGACAAATAAAATGCTTTAAAGAGGTAAGATTTGCTGTGTGCTTAAAATGTCAAAGTGGTTAAAATTTAAATACAAAAAACGTATACGTTGCCTATAGGCAGCCAATATGAATACAATGCAAACAACTTAGGAATAAGCCTTATGTAGAAGTAAAATACAAAGCAAGACCATGAGCACATGCAGAGAGTAACCAGACATGAGTGAGAATGAAAGAGCAGGCTGAGGCTGATGAGGTGTCAGCTGATACTAATGATAATAGAGAACAGGTGTAAGTGGGAGGGGCAATGCAGAGAAGCAGAAAMTGACAGAAAAAGTACTAAAGTTGAGGAATCAAAAAAAAGGAAGAAGAAAAGAAACAAACAAAACTTCATGAGGAATAAATATAACAAGAAAGATAATCTAAAACAGAAAAAAAAGATTGCAACATAAACTTGTGACTTGCTTGTGAACTTTTGGTTAAAAATAGCTTGAGACCCAACGATAAAGCAGCAAACAGTACACAAAAGCAAATTGCAGTGAATAACACAAGCRCAGAGACTGAAACCTATGGTGTATAATGTCAAACTGAGGAGCAGACAAACCAACAGGGAATATAAGACCAACTYAAACAAACACARTAACCAAAACCTGGGAGGCGACAACTGGGATCAGGGGCAAGTGGGCAGGGTAGCAGCAGAAACAGAAGAGCTGGAGAAAGAAGTAAACACAGAGAACAGGTGGGTWAAACTGACACAAACACAAAAACTCCTTCCAGCTTTAATAAAATAGTTCTAATCTAACAGAAAAAACACAGATTGTGATACAAAAAAGAGCTTCTATAACTAGATTAGCCAGAGAACAACACCTCACTGTGAGATTAGTTTTGTGCAGCTGGAGGAACTGCCCTTCCAGCTTCAGAATGCAAAATTAATGCACACTTGTTTCTCTTTAACTTGTAATGTGCAAACATTTGCCCATTGAAATAAACTACCTTAACCTTCCTGCTGTCCTAAAACTGAAGCCTCAGGGGTCACTTTGACCCAAGGAAAGCAGGAGCGTTAAGCGTGAATTTAGTCCTCAGTTCTTCCCTTTATTAAGATTTGTCTCTGAATCATTTTACATCTGGGTTTCTCAAACTTAATCCATCCGAGAACCCCTTACATAGGTAAAAATATTTCCAGCAACTTCCTCATAAACTCATGCTGATTAAAAATTAATTTAATGCCATTTTAACCCATAAGTGCGATGGGAATAATTCTTATTATTTGTTTGGTTGARTATGTTTGTTTATGCTGCATTGCTCAGTGTAGAATTTATGCAGTTCTTTAAAAAAAGTTTATTATAATTCTTTGAAGACCCCCCTGGAGTTCCTGGGTCCTTAGTTTGAGAACCTCTGTTTTACATATTGCCAAAACAAAGTTTTTATCTGACACACACTTTGATTTTAATGGAAACAGTCTATAAAATAAAATAAAATGTTATATATGGTTTAAAAATAAAAAGCACAAGTGATGCTGCTTACATATTTAGACTTCCAATTATCAAGTGACACATTCACAGTGTGAGCAAGAAAAGAAAGGTAGGTGTGAGTTTGGAAAGTATACAAGTTGAAGTGAAATTTAAAGGGATCCCTGATTAGTTGTAACATTAGGTTTTATTTCAAAAACATATATTTTAACTGTAAAATAAAGACTAAAATACTGTAGGATGTTTAGTTTTGTAAATTTTTTCAAATAAATTTTAACACAGATGGAGCCATTTTATTTACACGCAAAGCATTCTGGGTAAATGATGACGTGGATAGGTCATCGGTGTGAGCGAGCTATATCCACCCTGAAGGTTAATCTTGACAATATCTGATGATCGACTCTTTTAAATGAAACCAGAGAGCGTTGACAGAGAGG